ATAATGGTGAACACTAATTGAGTTGATGTTTATGAGCCTTTAGTAGATGAGTTTATGAAAACTAACTTATTCGATGATTTGTGCAGGAAATTGAAGGATAAAAAATGAACCGAGTGAGTTAAAAAATATTTCGTTTGTTGAATCAGATTTGCATTTAACTCCTTCAAAACCTAAAATTTTACCTTCCATTTTGCAGACACAAAAAATAGAGTTGAAACCATTGTCGGAACTCCTTTAAAATCATTGTCAGAATGTTTGAAGAACTCATTTTACCTTCTATTTAATTTTTTAATATTATTTTTAAATAATATATATATATATATATTAAATTATATTCAAAGAAACTTGTCAAATCGACGTGACGAGTTTCAACCGTTAATTTTTTTAAATTTCAAAAGTTGCTCGTTCCATAACAACTAGTTTGTTTAAATTCAAAGAAAACTCGTCACTTCGACGTGATAAGTTTTATAGTTTTTTTATTTTTTTTATTATTTAATGAAATTTTTTTAAAAAATTAATTTTTTTATTAGACTTATCGAACTGATAAATTCTTATGAATATATTAAAATATTGACTCACATAGGATCTACTTACTTTAAACCATTAAAAAATATTTCCAAACAAATTCGCCGTAAATTGCAAATTAAAATTTCAGATGGCCTATTGAGGCAATTAATTTAGGCGCCCGGGTTATTGGGGGGGGGGGGAAGCCTATGTTGAGCTAGTTGTGATTGCATACTGTTGGGCTTATAGATGGTCTTTTATGGCCTAAATTTATTATGCTGTTATTCAAAACCCTAGTAGCATCCAAATTGAGCGGCGGCGAGTTGCGCTATATATAAACATTAGAACACCAGTTTTGTTACTTCACGACGAAATTCTTCATAGCAAAACCTAAGAAAACGTGGGTGTTTGCAGCTTCTTTTTGTCATCCTTCTTTTGCTTTTTAATTCGATCTAATATATGGCGGAGGATTTGAGAATCCTTATCTATGAGAACGGGGCACACCGAAATTGTGTTTGTAAATCCCGAAGATAACGCCATAAAAAAACGCTCGTTGGCGTCGATGGTCTTCCTCTTCGGGGGGAGTTCCTCCGTGAACTGGCAGTCTCATATTCCATCGCCTTGTGGAGCGGCGTCGCTGCTATTACCTCTTGGGACTGGCCATGAGGCAAACATTCTATTCTTTCACCCCTTGCTTTTCAAATTTGAAAATAACGTCTTCCTCGACTGAATGGTTTCATAAATTATTATGCAATTGTCCGGTAACACTGTAATTATAATACTTGTTCGTTTATACTCAGTGAAACATAACATGGAATTATCCGGTAAAACCGAATCCATCTCATCCCTATATTACAGGGGAGAAGCTTTCTGTCTTTTTTTTTTTTCCTCTCTCACGTTTTTTTATTAAATTGATATCGAGGAGGAGAGGTCCTAGAAGTAACGCAGCATATTGTATAGAAAAATTGTTTGCCTACTTGACACAACACTAATGAGGATCTATTATCGATTATGGATATCGTAATTATAAGAAAAATCAAATTTGTTAAACTTATGCCTATGAGGGAATACGGGTTAAAGACTCATGCATTAAAGTATGGAATTTAAATTATGATTTGAGTATTTGACCTTTAAAATAATATAAAAATAAAATTATATGAAAGAGTGAACCATCTTTAGATGAATCGTTAGGCGTTGGGTTATTAAACTCTTGTTTTGTGGTTTATTACTTGCTTGGTTTATGCATGTTAAACTATAATTTTACATGCAACTTTCAAAAGAAAAAACATGTCTTCATGAATACCAAATAGACTAGGGGTGTTGGAGTGGGTCGATGAGCAAGTGGTGCCACGATAAGGTCAGGATTTGTTAGGGTCCTTTTGACCTCCACTACCTTACCTTCTCTAGACCTAACCCAACCAATCCCTACTCCCATCTTTCCGGGAAGGCACATGCTTTTTCCTCGCTTTCATTATGGTCTCAAATGATTCAACTTAACTCATGATTTCATCTAAAATAATTATAATGTGATTTATTTGATGAAATAATAAAATGTATAATGAATGTAGAGAGTTCGGGTCATAGGACTGAGATCATCAACGTTAAAATTCACATGGTCACTTCGTGTATTAATGTCATTGCTTTTCTCATCCTATGCACGTACGACCATGTTCCAGATATACCTTCAAATGCATGTTCCCACCTTCCCGTATTACAACTACCAACCACTCATCTGGGAACACACCACGGATGCATCTTACTTCTGCTCCTAATCTTCAGTCCATGACCCACCTCGAATCTGCTTTCTCCTCAGACTGCAACAACTACTGGAGGAGGCCCTAAGCTTAGAAAGAGAAACGTAAGTGAATGGCTTCAATCTTTACTTATCTTCATTGTGATCAAGTATTTTAACCAACCTTTGAAATGAAATTTCAGATACATGGGGTGCTAAACACAGAGTGGGGGTATCTTAATGCCTATCGGTGGTATATCAACAAGGTACTTGAAGGTATTCAACTCAGCCGATCCTGCAAGGTTTTACCTCCACGCATCACGTCAATTCTCGGCCTACGTCTTCGGTGTCACCGAATGGGGCACTGACCTCGCCCTGTGTTCAATTCGACACCCATCGAACCATCGGGATCATCCTTTTCAGCCTAGGAACACCTCCAGGTTTTCCCATTGCCAAAACCAGACCACAAATACAGATGGTAGTGGAACATATACCACCATCTGGTGGGATATACCGTGATAAACTGATAATCCTCAGTGTGATCCACATATATATTCAAGGGATTCGACATCTTGAAACCCGACAAGAAATGGAAGAATGCTTACACCGGTGTCATCGTGGCCTTGGCTTCAAGTGCCGTCGTGTTGGAACTTGGAAGCGTACACGTGGTTCTCTGTTGTAAAGAGGAAAGGTCAGAAAGTTCAGAGAAGTTGCAGCATGGTGGCAATGGTGCTAGGTGACAGCAGTCTTCAACTTTGCTCCATCTTTTTTTTTTTACTTTGTTTATTAATGTTGGACCCCCTGGTATGTTTATATACGAAATTTTCAGATGGAACGTAGAACTATGGCTATTTTGTTACGGGACGGAACTAGAATTAAATATTAGTAGGGGTCAAAATATTATATTATTAAAAAAATTATAAAGATTTATTAAGTATTTAAACTCGAAATTCAGCATGATCCAAGCTACCTTAATGATTAAGGAATTATTGTTATCTTGAAGTCCCGAGTTCAAGCACGTATATAAGGATATCAGCGTTAATTGTCAAATAGTTGAAAGTATTTGTATAAATATTACCTTGTATTCATCCTAAAATTAAAAAAAATCTCAAAACTCAAAAGACAACTTCTAATTTGTCTAATATTTAAACTTGCAATGACTTAAATTGTAATTATACCAAAAATTTGAAAACACATACTTATCATTCTTTAGTTCGACCTCTACTTGATTAAATATTTAATAAATTTTCATATTTTTAAATTTAAATATTTATTTTTACTTGAACCAAATTAAACTAAAATTATATCGAAAATATAAATTTTAACAAGGTCGAGGCCCCCTGGCCGTTAAGGAGCTCCGTCCCGACTTTTTTGGCCCAATAAAGATAACAAGTTTTTTATTTAGTCTATTAGGGCATCTTGATTTATATTTTTGGGATATACGATATTTTCTACAGTGTTATTGAAACTCGTCATGCCGAGGTGATGAATTCCAATAAAATATAATTTTTTAATTAAAATCTATCACATCAAAATAAAAAATTAAAATAAAAAAATATTTTTTATTAAAACTCGTCACCTCAATATGACGAGTTTTATGTCACTTTATAAAATATCATATATCCTAAAAAAAAAAATTTACTTTCCTTTGACCAAATAAAAAACCCATATAACTTACTAGACCAATTTAACCCTCCATCCATGGTTTGGTATCGATGTGGAAAAACAATTTTAGTTAGAAATTGTGTTTTGAAAGAAGAATCCTTTTTCAATAAATGCATTTGAAATAATGGTTTTAAAACAACAGTAAATGCTAGAAAATCCTTTTTCTTCATTTTCAAATTAAATTTAAAAGTACATTTTCATTCATTTGTAAGAAAAATAATTTAAAATTTTCATATTTTTTTAAAAAATTATATATTAATTATATTTTGTTTCAATAATTTAATATATTCAAATTAAATCTGATATATTACTTATATGAATTTACATATTATAATATTAATAATTTTAAATATGATTTAAAATAATATTTTTAAATTTTATAATATAAGGTCTAAAATGGTTATTTACCTACATAAATTACATTTTAACTGAAATCCCTGGCACTCAAAATTTTAAACTAAACAAACAAAAGTAATTTTCAAAAATACTTTCAAAAGCAATATCAAACTAGATCTTATTATAGTTTAATTTTATTTCGAGCAAACTCGGGCTTAAAAATACTTTTTCACCCCACTTTCCGAGCTCGGTCCGGTAATGATAATAACAAATTACCAACCAAGAAAAAGAACAGTGAAATCTAGAGTCAACAATTTGATGCATTTACTGAATCCATGACTGATCATTCTGATAAGATAAAACTTATATTTTCCATTACAACTTCAGTTTCAAGGTTAGCATCGGAAATAAGACGGTCTACAACAAAATAAACATAGTACACCTACAGTTCTGGGCTAATGGCATAACCACAAAATATTATTGCCATGATTCCCGTGGTACATTTTTCATTCTGACCATAAACAACCAAACTACTTCAAAAGCTTTGAATCTAAAGACGTCGAATGCACAAAATACAACAAATGAACAAGTGACGGTATCGGTCTTCACTATCTGTTCTACCCCCTGCAAGAAAGAAGAATGAACTGTTCCAGCAAAAGGCACGGTCAAGACATTACAGAAAAGCCACATAAAGATGACCGACCAAGTTCAGATGCATTATATGATAAGGAACTTATTTAACGAGTTATACCAACCAGTCAGCATTAGAAGATCTATATCAGAGACTTCAGGATTGCTTAAGTAAATGATGTCGTATTAGTGAGTCACGTATTCCCATCAAGGATATGCTTTCACATCCGAGAAGCTCACGAAGATTGGCATCGCACAGCACCACCATTGAGTTTGATGGATCCTGAAACAATAGCAAAGAACACCTAGGAGATTTATATCAGCGATAAAGAACGAAGCCAATCCTAAAGTTCAATGGGAAGAGGTTGAACAAATTCGTGCGACAGCTCCTACCTCCAAATGATTAACCTTTATGTATTCCCAAACACGGCTTTCTGCCTCCGCTTCTACCATCTCCCTTCCTCCAGCACCCAAAAACTTGGCAAGTGCCTCAGATATGATTACAGGTTTGGGCCCTTGTTCGACACCTTCAGTGGTGGACTCAACATTTACCTTCCCTTTTTTAGTTTGACTTGATTCCTCTGCAAGGATTAGCAAAATTATTAACCTAATGAAGAGATTATCAAACCCGACTCATTATAGAACAAATATATATTGCACGTATCAACAATGTACTTGAAGGGTCAAGTGGGGTAATATGCTTTGCAAGCAGCTTGTTCATCTTGAACATGTCAGTGCAGTCTGTCTCCAACACTAGGCGTAAGGCTTCGTCGCAAATTATCTTTCTCTTGTTACTTGGATCTTGCAGGCTGTTCTTCCTTATATATGCCCACAGCTGCTTGACAATCTAAATCAAAAGGAACATGTTAGAGTAGAAACAATGGAGCGCTGCTGACTAAAAGTAATCTATGTTAATCTGGGGAAACCACAACCTCGGTCCGGGGCAAAGCTGGCTCACCAACTATGGCTTGAAGTGCTGGTGAAACACTACAAACTTTGTTCAGACCCCCTGATCCACCTCTTCTTTTGGGTGCAACTGGAGTGCTGCTGTGACATTTTAAAACACAGACATACTTGAGTCATCGGTAGAGTGATTAATCCCTGTTTCGTGATAAAACATTGAGGGACAGCATTTCAATTCGCATCATGATCCTCAGAATGTAATTAAAGTTGACCGAAATATGATAAAATACATATATCTTTATTGCACTCTAATTTATCACCCCCAAAGACTGTAGCCAACAACTCAGCAGATGAACTGGTAAAATTGGTCATCTAAATCCTAAATCCATGGAGGAGGAGAATGACACCAAAACCCCCAAAATTCTGGGTGTAAGAAAACCCGACTTCAGTTGCACAGACGTACAAAAAGGCCCTAAAGCCCATAAAAATGTATTAGAAAAACCCTAAAATAAACCAAATTTTCACACGACCCCCCCTGAAAAAAGCTAAACCAAGAGATCACAGCAAAATAGCGAGGACAAAAAAGCGGCAAACCTTTCTTTGGGAACTTCAGCGGTGGCAATGGGAGCGGCATTCTGAGCGGAAACTTCGGCTTTCGTGACAACCGGCTGGAACTGCAGCTGCTGATGTTGCTGCTGCAATTGGGGTCGAAGCTGCGGCGGTGGTTGAGAGGTGAGAGGAGGATGGTGGTGGCGGAAGTTGAGGTTGTGGGAAGGAAATTGAGAGTGATGGTGGAGGGCAAAATGGGGAGGAAATTGTAGGTGGGGTTGATGGGGAGGGAACTGAGGGTGATGTTGGAGGTTAAAATGGTCTTTAGGAGGTGGCTGAGGCTGGGTTTGAGGGGGACGGAGCAGGAGGTTGATTTGGTCCCTAATGAAGGCAGCTTTATGGGAGAGGTCGGCACCTAGCTTGGCTTCCAGCTGCTGAATGACGCCGTTTAAGGTGGTGGCGACGGTGGGGTCGGACTGCCGGAGCAAATTCTCCACCCCTCTGGCTATCTCTTGGTCCGTCACCATGCTTCCTTCCTTCATATAATAAATACCCCTTTTAAGTAAAACTGAACTGAAACATCCAACAAACGTTTTCTTCTCTCTTCACCCTTTGTCTCTATCTCTCTATCCAACTACCGCTCTCTCTTTATATTCAGTAAAATGACGTAAATGTCCCCCTCCCTATCTTTGTTCAAATTCATACCAGAATGACGCGCCTGCCCTTCTTCATATTACATGAATTCGATCCCATTCTAAACATAAATTTTAAGAATGTTAAATGATTCAGTTCAAATGTAAGGTAGAATGTCTGTTAAGTTATTAAATTATATAATTTTTATAAATAACCAAAAATTTTGTATGTTAAATAATGTATCACTACTCTACTTCTAACAAATATAATTCATAATTTATAATAAAATATAATTATGATGTGATAGATAGACATAAAACATGATAATAAGTGGAGCTGAATCAAATTTTTTACTGATACTAACCTAACACTTAATTTTAATTTTGAAAAAAAAAATGATAATTTGATATGAGTTGGAGATATTAACCTGATACTCAATTTTAATTTTAAAATTAAAATTTACGTAGAATCTAATTTAATATAAATATAATTCTTTATTCATAAAATAAATAGCTAACCAAAAATATATAAATAGAATGATATAACAATAACTATTCTTAAAATATAAAGAATAAATATATTATTATTTTAAATAAAAAAATCACTTTAAATCTAATTTGACCCAACCCTATTATTTATAAACTTGATCTAATTTAATTAAAATAAAAACTAAATTTTATAAGATAAAGTTGAATCAATATTTATGAAATTGCGATAAAATTATCATGCCTATGTACATATTAAAATACATGAATTATTATCAAATTTATTTGAGAGAAAAGGTTGTTGGGGCTAGAAATGTATTTGAACGAAGTTGCTTCTTTTTTATGTTTCCCTCGCTTTAAAATGGGTTGCAATGACAAGATTGGCCTTTGTGTTTTACACGGGAACAAAGGCAAAGGGGTAGAAACGTAAGTTGAAGGTGGCAGGTGGTATCCAATTGACAAAAATAAAGACTTGGTTGTAAAAATATTAGAGAATTCGAAAAAAGAAATTCAGAACTCATAGCATATTATTCAATTTTAGCAAAAATAAAAGGTTTGATTGTAAAATAAGTATTTATATTATATTTTTAACTGTTTATTGTTTTATTTTGTAATTATTTGAAGATTAATTTATTTTTAAAAAAATGCCACATGAATGATAAAAATGTTGAAAAGTTGTTAGGGTGGTTGGGATGGAGAGTGACGAATTGCATTTCTTTCTCTCTTTTTACAATCTCCGTTTTTCTTATCTGCTCCACCTTCTTAGGTGGGCGTACTGTACACAGCACGTTGCAAACCATGAATTTTCACATCCACTGTAAAAATAGAATCAATAATTATATCGATATAAAGGATAAAATCAATAAATACGGTTGTCCGCCATGCATGGGCGGAGATGTATCGACCGCTGTGATTGCAACAGTCTTGTATTTTCGAAAGTTACAATTTCTCGATTAAATTTAAAGTCGAGTTAAACTTCTATTCGAATACAAAGCATCAAGCTTTGTACAACTTAACGACCAAGTGTTGATGCCCTTATTTCTTCAATGCATCAAGCTTGTTTTTTTAGTGCAAGAGATTATTATTGCAGGTTCCAACATACATTAAGGGGTTAACCAAATGGATTACACGACGATTTTCAGTTGGCAAAGTACACTACTCTGCTTCTTTTCTCCAAACACAACAGAGTCCTCAATCTCGTGGCGGAACAACCTTACCGGCGCAGGTTCCGAAACCAACATTGTCTCCACTCCCCTGCTTCATGCAATTTAAAACTCTTTAAAAGTACTTGAAATTGCTAATGTTAAGAACTCTACCCTAATGAAGCAGAGAAATTACCTTGCAGTAACCAGTGAAAATTACTTCATCCCCATCTTCTAAGAACTTTAGAGCTGTCCCATTCAACGACAGCGGTTTCTGTCCATTCCATGTTAGTTCCAGCAAGCATCCAAGAGAATCTGGCTCCTGTTCAAAACATGAGAAGGCTACACTAGGAGCAAACATTTCCAGATTCATTTACAGTGACTATCATACCATTAAGTACGCCAGCAAGCAACATACACCGGTACTACAATCATCTATATGTCCAAAAAACCCACTTTGTGGGGCTTGTTCATAAGACTTCAACACAACATACATGATTATTTGTTTCCGTGTGTGGTTTGGCAGATATTTTTTAAGGAAAAAGGAAAGAAAGGTGAAAGGTAGGTAAGAAAAATACAGGTCCACTAATGGTCCCAGTTCCAAGGAGATCGCCGGGCCTCAGGTTGCAACCATTGATCGTATGGTGTGCTAGCTGTTGAGTCAATGTCCAATATCTGTTACAAAAGGTTATGCAAACTTCAGTAAGTATTATATTTCGGCCAAGAACTCAGTACACCTTTATAAAAGAGTACATAAGCATATATTAAACAAGTGCAGAAAGACAATCTTAAATTCAAGCAATGCTCCATAAGTGTACAGTGACTTGGAACTCCTTACAGGTTCTTGAGATTACTTATTGTGACCACACTCGAATCCTTTTGTCCAGATGGTTTAATTTGAACCTAGCAGCAAGAAACAAGTTAGAACCTCAAGACACTAGGGGAAAAGTCATACGGAAGACAAAGATGAATAATGAAGTACGGAGAATCCAATGGGACATATCCACTAAGCTGGTAGGTGCTACCTCCAATGCAATATCATAGTTTTTGGATATCTTCTCAGCCAGATATGGCAGTGGAGAGGCATCCTGCATTGACAACAGGCATCTTCAGCTACTTCCATTAAGAATAGTCACGATGAAAGAGAATAGGGAAAAAGCTAGAAGCTCCAATGGCTTTAAGACCCAACACAATGAATAGACACCTACCTGCTTAGGAGCTTAGCATGCAAAAGACTCCGGAGCATCTAGGGTCACAATCCAAGGGGATATTGTAGTACCTGAAAGACGAGAGAAAAGAAAGTAAATTCCTACTATAACAATGTTACTCAGACTCAGATGTGACTGTTGGATATGAGTATGTTCATTTATTTCCAAGTTTCTCCATTTAGTTGGGGGATCCATTGAGAGGCATATCATGATACCTTGTCTGAATATATGTTGAACACAGGATCTTGATCAGTTGAATCCAGTATGATAGCTTCATTGTTTCTCTAGAATTCTATGAATTCTTTGTTATCTTGTTAATTAAATTTGGTCTCATTTCAAAGGACGCCATGTTTTTGACACACATCAATAATTGCCTGATTGGACTTCCTCCTAAGAGCCTCAGAACTCGGAAGAAAAGCAAGAACAAGTTTTCATTTTTTTTTATACCAAAACTCTTTCCAAGAAAGGGTCCGAGAGGGACGTATTCCCAAGCCTGAATGTCCCGAGCTGCCAAAACCAAATAGTTTGTTTAAAATATTGATATTAAAATTTGTTGGAAAAAAGAGAGGATGATGCAGTGAAGCAACTAAACATAGCATACCACTCCAATCGTTCATCAAGACAACTCCAAAGATATGATCTGCTGCCTCATTAACATCCATAGCTTTCCCTAATTCATTTCCTGGACCAACTACAGCAGCCTGCCAGTTTCGTAAGAGACCATATACAAGATTATAATTCATGGTGAGGTACAATGAGAGAATAACAAGATGACAGTAAAATGAAAGGCTGACCATTTCAAGTTCAAAATCTAGCTTCAGTGAAGGCCCAAAATATGATGAAGAGTTACCAGCTGGACGACCTTGACCCCTAGAAGAATAGAGAATCAAGCCGGTTAAACTGGCCGAGTAGACAGCTATGAGCTATGGTAGTATCTCAGTCCCTAATTAAAAACGATTAGGACATTTTGACAAAAATCACATATGGAGTTCCATACACTGACCTAAATTTAAGGTTAAAATACAAGGAATAAGTAATTTGAACTTCTGACCTTGGTCTATAATATCAGTTCCAGAGATGACAATATATGATGCTCGGCCGTGATATGCAATGGGAAGATGGAACCTGGATAGTGCAGAACGGCAATGCTTGTGAGTTTCCAAATGAGACAAGGTGAATGCCATCAACTTTCAAAACTAAGATTACCCGTTCGGTGGGATCGGGGTTTCAGGTCCAACAAATATGGTTCCACAATTCTTTGCATGATGCATGGATGAAAAGAAGTCCGTGTAGTCTCCAATTTCCATAGGAAGAACCATTTCCACCTTGCTCTAAAGATTTCACAAATAAATTGAAAGCAAAAACATTTCCATACAGATAACATACTGAAACTCTCTTACCATTGGCACGAGTGCCTTCTGCCTCAACACCGTATCATCACGCAGGGTTGGTTCTGTAGCTGCACAGATCCATATAATGGTCGGTTTTCCCACTTCCAAATATAAAAAATGAATCTTCATTTCACCATGAAAACTACATTGTGCTTTTGAAGGACCATATTATTTCACCTTCAATAATACTTATATTTCATGCTATCAGCAAAATCAAGCTACTCTAGCTCAGGGGTGAATCATGAAATATGAGCATAAAAGGGGTAAAATAATTCATTTTGAACACCTTTGAAATGTTTTTAGGGCAAACTACACCAATAGTCACTAATGTTTGAGTTAGTTTTCGTTTTTCCCACTAAAGTTTCAAAAATAACAAATTGATCACTAATGTTATCGATTTGTAACAAAATGGTCACCATTATTATCGATTTGTAACAAAATGGTTATCAACGTTATCGATTTGTAACAAAATGATTACTCCACCGTTAGCTCCGTTAAATAGATGATGTGACAATGTTACACTGAAAACATTTTCTAGAAAACGTTTTACGGTATTTGAAAGAGGTATAAACCATTTTTCACTAGTTGATGAATTTTATAAAAATTATTTAATATAATTATTAAATACAATAAATAATATTATTTATCATAAAAACTTAATAGTATTATTTTTGAAATATTATAATAATTTATTAATTATTATTAAAATATCATTTCTATAATTTTATAAATAAAAGTATTAAAATTAATATATTCTATTGAAATAAAATATTATAAATTATT